ACCATCGAACGACACTACCATTGGTACATCAATCGACACCAGACGCGAATCAGAGCATAATGAGTATGAAGTGTGTGGAAATATTTTTGATGGAGATACCACCACGCATTCAGACAAGTTAAGGGAAAGAAGAGGATGAATTGGAAGAAGAGAAAAAGAATCAATGGAGGTTCTCAGTTATCATTGATTTTTCACTTCTCAGATGATGTCCGGACATCCAAAGTGAGATTACACAAGTCTGTGGGAAAGAAGGAGAGAAATTGGAAGAAGCGGAAAAGAACCAAAGGAGGTTCTCAATTACCATTGACTCCTTACTTTTCAAATAGTATAGCAGATGCTTCTCACATCCATATGCAAAGCTTAAAGCACTCATTTGCTGAGATGATAGACAAAGGAGAAAATTCTATGGGGGAGGCTTTCACACAAGAATGATAAAGCTTCATAGATTGGACAATGAGACTTGAATTGGAGCAAGTACTTATTCTCATCCGGACTGAATCAGATCTCCAGAAGTCAAGCTAATGACTAAAAATAAGCGCTGAGTGGGAGGCAACCCACTGTTAGGTAATTTTAAATATGGTTTTATTTTCATTTATTACTGATATTTTGTTTTCTAAGGATTTCAGGTACTGTAGCACTGCACTGTAGCAATCGAGCGATACTATAGCAGAAAATCGCCCGATACTGTAGCAGAGTCACTATAGCACGATCACTGGGCATAAAAAAAAAATATTAATTTGTTTTATTAGTTATCTATTACTAACTTTAAGAATATTAGTGTTTTAGTTTTGTTAGGTAACATGAACATACCCAAGAAAGATGAGTTTACCTAAGAATGGATGAGTTCTGCACCAGCATCGACTGACACTTGATCAATGTCGCTCGACAGAGCATCACAAGTATTGATCGCCACTTAACTGTGTTGATCGATACTCACATCAATGGCAGGTATACTCGCGAAACTTTGTTAAATATTTTCTTTATGTTTATTGTCCCACCAATCTTAGGCTGTATAACATTGGTTACAGTGTTATTTAAGTCAGGGGGAGGTTCTATTAATATTGTGTATTTAGTTAGCTATTTAGAAAAGCAGACCCAAGTAGATGATTACCATGCTAATCGACCAATACGAACCAGTCGATATCGCTCGACACATACATACACGCATTGATCGACGATGGCGACTCACCATCGATCGATATCCATATCGGTCAGGTATATCGTTCACATTTTCGATATCAGTTACACAATTATTGTTTTTTATGCTCTAACTCCGACTAGTTATACACTGAGGACAGTGTATGATTTAAGTCTGGGGGAGTGGAATTACTGATGCTACTTTACCTCTTTTTGATCTGATTAAAAGTTTTCAAAAATTGGTTTTATTGAGTCAAGAAAGGGAAAAATTTTCAAAGTCTTACTTTTTATCTTACCACTCTTTAGCACCATTCTTAGATTTGTTGATTGCAGAAAGTACTATAGATACTAAAGCGGATCACCGATCATCCTATGACAACATTTTCATGATTGTTTGGAAGAACCAAAGCTCATTTCCAACCTAACCTGACATCTATTGCTTGTCTTGGGGCTTGGTATACAAGGGATCGGAATCCTCCTGCAAGTCTGGAAGGTAAAAGTCTCAAAATTTTTTGTTTCCTTCTCTCCTTCCTTTGGCATCCCCAGAAAATAAAAGATTGAGATGATTTCCTGAGAGGCAGAGGGAGAGGTACATTACCCATGACCCCACTATTCTAAATCAAAGGGATGATCACACATTGTGGAAGCGAGGGAGAGGTACATTACCTATGACCCCACTATTCGCCTACACTTTGTAAAAAAGAGCTAAAAAAAGTAGAAAGACCAATAAGATGAACATTAGTTGTTCATTGGGATTTGTATAAAAGAAAGAAAGAAAGAATTGGGATTCAGAAAAGGAGGGATAAAGAGAGAAAGGGAACCAGGATGAGAATGCCTGAAACTTGTTTGAATTGAATCCAAGTGTTCCTTGATCGATACTCCCAGGGGAAAGCCTACACCTCTATTTTTATGCATAAATGAAATCAGTAGAGGGGATAAACAGACAAGGGATGTTTAAGTTGATTAGCTAAATGTATTCGGTTGCCAAGCTAGGATATGGTATAATGTACTTCTGTAGTTGATAGATATGAGATGTGGCTTGCAACAAAGTAGAGGTGATGATTTTAAAGTTGAGATTTTGATTGAGTCCCTGCTGTCTTTAAACTTCTTTCAAAGACTAACTTAAAGTTTGCTTGAGGACAAGCAAAATGTTAAGTCTGGGGGGATGATATACCATGATTTTGACCCACTTTTAGTCATGGTATTGATGTGATTTTATGATAATTATATATGTTTTGGAGTCTATTTAGAGTATTTATAGGTTCAGGTACGTCCTGGAGAAATATGGTGATTTTGGTATCTTTTGGAGCCTTAAAGTGCAGAACTGCGCAAACGCATCAGATGTTTAGATATGGATAGAGACCTTCTCATGGTGCGATTTAGCCCATATGTTGTCACAAGATAGAGCTTTGAGTTAGCTTTCCAATTCCAATTCCACCAAGATAGAGCTTTGAGTTAGATCAGAAGTTATGCCCCTTTTACTGAAGAGTGGTCAGTCTGCCTCGCGACAGAAGGCTGTCGAGAAGATATGTGCATGTCGATCGATGGGAGACATCTCATATCGGTCGATATGAATGCCAGAACGTGGGCTGACTATATTTCATAACCGACTGGAGCCCACAAGTTATCATAATAGCCTTGGACGACCAGAAACCCTAGTTATGATATTTATAAGCCATTGTTGACGGCTACAAGCTATCTAAGCTTTTCTAAGTTCTTTTCTATTCTTTTCTCTTAGTTAGGAGAGAAGGGAGGAACTCTTATCAGAGTCCTCCTGGAACTCCATTGGTTTTATATCTATTCTATTTCATTTTTATATCTATTCATCTATGATTTCTATGCAAAACTTCATATCTGTTTAGATCCACCTGTTGGATTTAGGGTTCAGATAGGTTGTGGGATTAGCCCCAACTATAGATTGATAAGTTGTGATATTCATTGTTAGGATGTTCTTAATGCTTGTTTCTAGAGTCATGAACTAGAACCATGAACTGGAATAGTTTAATTTATTAATCTTCATCCTGACATCATCCTCTACAAACTCAGACTCTATTGGGCACGATGCGACAGCCGGTCTAATAGAAATTCTCGAGTGAACACAGTTTCAATTCGATCTGATGCTATATATCGATCGATACTCTTATAGAGTCATCGATCGACGACAACACATATCGACCCACACTGCGATAGCAACATCAGTCGATACTGTCGGCATTCAGATCAATGGACGAGTCTAACTAGCGATAGCTATAGATTTGTCTAAGAATTGAAGTTCTTATATATCATGCATGCAACTTGTTAGGCATCAATAGAATTATAATCCTGATTACCTGAATAGAAACCCTAGATCTAGCAACCATCCTTCCATAAACAACTCCTTGCCAAGCTGAACAATTATCTTGTTCATCTTGTTTATTGCTTTCAAGTTTACTTTATTTATTTACTGCATTATTACCTATTAGCCTAGCTTAATCATATAACTATTAGATATATTAGGTTCCCTAGCTCCCCGTGAATTCGATCCCTAAGTACTACAATTGAACCTCTTATTTGAGAGAGTAATTCACTCCTTAGGGTTAAACATTTGAGTGATATCACAAGACGAACCAAAGCTCGTGCATTTTGTAAGTCAGCAGCTCCCTACACAAGAAGCTGTGTACAACTCTCGCGGAGAACCCAAGACCATTCTCATGCAGCTTAAAAATCTGAGAAAAAACCGGATTTTTTTTCACAGCTTCCAACTCCTTTGGCAGCCACTCAGTGAACTTTCAGATAATGTAGTCAATCCTGCAGTTGTTATTGATCTGAGTCACTTGGGGCTCCTCGCCCTCCTTAAAAATCCTCTTTGGTAACTCCAGCGACATATCTAAAGCCATGAAAAACTTGTTAGTTCAACATGTTAATGAGAGCAAGACAAATCAATTTTTAAAAAATCTGTGTAAAAGGGAAGAACAATTCGATTAAGTTTTAGATGAGAATCATTAGAAGTAACTGAATACCTTGGGTGAAGAACTGAGACGAAATTATGGAAGAACACTTCGTAATTCTCTTTGACCCGTTCGACGAAGAGGAAGAAAACTTGGTATAGTTGTATCTTCAATGAGATTGAAGAGGAGGATGACGAAGACGAGATTCGAGACTACAGGAAGATGAAACTCCGAGAAAGATTTAGGCTTCTCTCCGTTGAACCCTAAATCGCCATGGAAATGGCTTTCTTCTACGGCGGAGAAGAGAAGAGGAAAAGAAATTAGGGTATCGACCACCCCTTTTTCCTTTTTCCTTTTTCTTATTTTTTAAAGTTTTTCTTTTTCTAATTTTTTAAAGTTTTGTTAATTTTATTTAACTTTAAAATCAATTACGAAAATTACAATATATAATTTCAATTCAACTTAATTAATAAATTAAGGGTAGTTTGGTATTAACAGGAACAAAAATCATATTTCCAAAAATATGTGGTACAAATCCTATTGTGACAAATCCAAGCTCAAAGTGTCCTTTTTCCAATTTTTTCTATAATATTATCATACAAACCATTATAAATTGTTTTATAAACCTTTCTAAATGGTTATAGATATTCTTTTAAATGATCTAGAGACCTTTTAATTGTTTTCTAAACCTATTATAACTTGTATACATACGCCTAATAAATTGAATATAAATTTTGTAACTTTTATAAATTGATTTTGTAAATGGTTTATAAACCTTTGAGAATAAAAACTCAAAACAAAGGGCCACAGGTTGTACATATATTTTTTCAGAGTTGATCAATAAATTAAATATTTAATCAAAAAACACCAAAAACAAAAATAAAGAAATGGGTTTAGTCTGATACTAGTCGTACATCATTCTCATTGAAAAGTTACCCTTGGAGAGCTTTTCCAAATATTCAGTTTGTTGATCTTGAGGTAGAACCTCTTGTAGTTTATCTACCAATCTAGACAAATCACCCATTCCTGTTGTACATAAAACATTAATATCAAAATTCCGAGTAAACAACCCATGGTGAGGTTTTGATTACTCATCACAGTCCTGCTTATCTTCAATCAATGACATGAAAGTTACCTAAGAGACGTCTGACAAATGGTTTGACGTCAAAAACTTCAAACTGATCCATATGTTCTCCTGTTCCAATGAATATCACATGGATTTTTGTAGCTGCAACACTAACAAGATAAAAATATAGATCAAACTAACTTTCCCAATTGGAAAAAGCGAAAAAAGAGTTTCATATCGACCATTTGAAAGTACATATGACAGCTACTTACACGCTAAGAGCACCACCACCCTTGGCATGGCCATCCATCTTAGTGATAATTACAGCTCACACAACAACACTTTTCTTAAATGCTTAGCTTGATCAAACGCAGCTTGGCCAATACGGTTGTCCATGACAAATATAACAAGATCTGGTTTCTGCAAAGTGAATAGACCATGATCAGAGCCTGCAACCTCAACAAAGGAACAAACATAAGACTTCAAGATCATACAACATACCGTTGCTTCAGCAAATTGACGCATTTTTTCAAAGAGAGTAACTTCTTGTTTATGGCGTCCACTAGTGTCAACTATAATAAGATCACAGTTTTCTTTCTTAAATGTATCCACTCCCTCAACAGCAATTTTCACTGGATCACAACCCAGTATTAGGACTTTCTGTTTTCACTATAGTATAAAATATCTTCTTTCTTCATCTCCCGCTTTAACAGTCATTGAAGTAAATCCAAAACTACAAATAGCCTACTAGTAACATTTGACTTCAAAAGAGTAAAATGGCTTAAAGAAACTCGTAAACATCACTTTCACAGACACTCATGTAGAGAAAAAGAAAGATGTTTTACGTAACAGTCATAAATTAAAAAAATTCATGAACTTTCTTTGTTCCTCGAGTCTATCTACCGTCACACATCACAATCACAGACACTCATGTATGTGAGCTACTATTCTAATGAATAAAATACCTGAGCATATAATTTTCATACCTTCCATAGAAAGGGATCCTAGCCTTGGTGGCATTCTGTTTCAGCTGATCAAAAGCACCAGCCCTGAAAGTATTTGCACACACTAGAGCTGGTTTGTACCCTTTCTTCTGATGATAATAAGCATACTTTTTACATGTTGTGGTCTTACCATCACCTAAACATAAATAAAACGAAAATTATGCATACAAATTTTCTATGTCAATCAACCACCAATCACAACCTTACAAAGACTTCACCTTGTAACCTGACGAACGCAACCACATTAGCTTTTTTGGGTACAAATGCAGGCTTTCTTGGATCTAACATTTTACACAGTTCACTAAAGATCGCCTGAGAAACACAACAAAACGAACAATTCAGTGAAGAATCAATGCAATTTCAAGCAAGCCATGAGATTCATGATATATACAACATCTATTGAAATCAAAGTTTGGGGACTAACAAGGGAGAAGAGAGGATAATCGACGAAAAGAAACACTGGAGGCGGAGCCAATCCTCTCACCGCAGTCTCCACCTGCGGTTGTGATTGTTTATCCCACCGTTGGAGAAAGCCCAGAGAGGAGAGCAAGGCTGGCTAGAGAAAGAGGAGATGAAAATCGGGGATATCTTACTAGGACGGATGCGTGCCGTCGCCGTCGACTCCGAGAGCGGATGCCTTGTCGGAGAGCCGCCGTCTCTATTTCATGGAAGAGAAGATATCTCAAATTAGTTAGGGTCAATTAAGTCATTTATCAATTAATGATATAGGTAATTATGAAAATGTCCTTCTATTATAGGTAAAGTTGAATAGTGGTACTACTAAATGTGTAAAAATGAAATTCTCCCATAAAATGTAAAAGCCACATCAGTATCTGTTAAAGCCACATCAGCCTCCGTTATTATTTGACTAACGGATACACAATCAATGTATGGATAAACCTATATATCTTGTTCACGTATAAAATTTAGAGATTATTTGCTCCCACACCCTAAATGACCCCCCTAATTTGCTAATTACCCATGATTTGACATTAATAAAAATAATGACCTTTTTGTCATTCTTTTACATGCATGTGACACTCTCTCTCTCCTGACACACTCTCTCTCCTGACACTCTTTCCCAATAGAATTGGCAACCTCTCTTTTTCTTTCATTCGATTCCTCTTCTTTCTCATTCTCAAACTCTCTTATCATGTTAATACATTATCTTTTTTGTGTAAAAAATTATTGTTGTGAAAAAAACTTATTACTATTTTACTATTGTTCTTATGAATCTAAATTATTTTAATTATACCACATTCTGAAAAAATCAACATTGAAGTTTCTTTAAAATCGCCAAAGATGTTAACACTTATGTTAGCTGTTAACAAATAATGTAGATGTCAACAAAATTGTTAACTAGTAACAAATACATGTACCAAATGTATTAATAGAGGCATTAACTGTTAACATATTTTGTAAATGTTAACAAAATATGTTAACAGATGTGTTAGCTGTTAACAAAGACATGTATTACAAGTGTTAACAGAGATGTTAATTGTTAATAAATTTTGTAGATGTCAATACATGCGTTAGGTATATGTTAACAAATAAATACTGTTAAAGTTTCATTTCTCTATTAAAATGAGTAAATTTAAAAATCATTTACATATACAATTGTAGATGAGAAAAAAAATCAAGAAACAATTGTGTAAAAAGAAAGAAATGAACGTGAAAAAAGATGTGTGAAAAATATGTGTGGTTTAAAGAAAAAGAGATGTGACAAAAGAGGAAGAATCGTTGGGGAGAGAGTGTCAGATATAGGCAATAGGATTCTAACATTTCTGTAATAAGTAGAAAGTATGTAAGAGTTGAAGAAAGTCATTTTCATCCAATACCAAACAAATTGTAAAAACATTTGTCTTAATGCCAACTCATAGGTAAATCACTAATTTAACTCCATTTTATGGGTATTTGGCTAATTTACTCTAAAATTTAAATATATTAATTGTTGATGTATATAATATGTGTTTATATACTGATCGGAACCACGACACTCTAATGATGTATGAATTGACCGATTCAGTACTTGTGTTAGTTGGATATACATGTTAAAGAAACAAAAGTGAAATCAAAACTGTATTTTCTTCTTTTCTTAACAATGTTCAAACACAATATGAATCAATTTATTAACAAAAGCTCTTGAATTGATTTTCACGGAGTTGCTTAACTAACTAGATATCAATCATCAATTTTTCTTGTGCTTACATACCTCACCATGTAATAAAAGTTATTTTCCGAAAAATTAAATATATGTACTTTCTATTTTCTCTGGGGAAAAAGGTAAAATAATCAATAATTTTAAAAGTTAAACCCAAAAAACTCTGACTCACAAACACTGTTAACTTAATCATTCATTTTTAGTTAAACATGAATAATTCTTATATTTTTGTTGATAGAGCTATTTTAGACATTTTAAATTTAACTCTTAAATATGTAAGTGAATATTTAACAATTGATTTTTAAAAGTCTAAAATAGTTTGGTCAGTGAAAATATGAGATTTTATTAGTTTTAGTTTAAAATTTGAATACTAACATAAATTATTTAAATTTGAAATATTTCTATGTCTTTAAAAAATATTTTTCGAAATATAAATTATTTATGATTTTTGATAATATGCAAAACATCTGTGAGTTGAGTTTTTTTTTGTTTAAATTTAAATTAGAAATTATTTTGACGTTTTTTTTCATTTTTATTGGGCCGGTCAGAAAAGCTTGAACCCGATATTAAAATAAACCATCGATTGATGCCAAAAATAAAGAAAACATCGGTTAGTTACAGAACCGAAACAATTACACAAAGCCTTTGGTCTCCACTCGGAACCACCTTCTCCTCCGCCTCTTCTTAAAACTCAAAAACCCCTTTCTATTTCTTTTTGCGGAGAAAATGGCCATGGGGCGTCTTCTTACGCCCAAACTGAATCCCCATTTCAGCTGCAGAGGTGATATAGTGAAACCCTTTTACTGGCTCCTTGTCCCTTTTTTTTTCATTTTATTCAACGCACATAATTTTCATTCTGCCTGTGATTTTAATCGATTGAAACCCTGTTTTTTACAGGTGTCCTACCTTTGAAGAGGAGGTGGTCTTCTTCTTCTTCTTCTTCCCTGGAGGATGGCCGGAATCTAGAGAGGTTGCCGGATCCTAAGGCTTCTGCTAACAAGTGAGCACTCTTCGCTTCCTCCTGTGTTACGATATATGCTTTTCTTTGTGTAATGAAGGGTCTCAACCTTTCGTAACCAGAAGAAAGTGAATACTGATTTTTGATTAATGTGAAAACTGAAGAGTTTATCTTCTTTCTCTGTCTTTCACTTTAGTAGCTTCACCTGGTTATGCAAACTATTTGGAGCTACCAAGCTTCTTATTTACATTTATTCTCATGTTTCATTTGCGTGGGATTCCTGCATTGTTTTTCACTATAGTTTGATTCTTTTATTGTTTACAACCTTTTTTTTTTTTATCTTGGATATGTAGAGATATTGGCCAAAAGGGAAGGTGGTACTCTTTAGGTGGCTTACTCACTAATCTAAAGAAAACCATTATGGGAAACATGCCCTCCTTGCTCAACAAACCTCCTGCTGATGTCTCGGTTCTGTCTAAATCACCCATGGGTTCTTCACGAGATGTGACTGTTGAAAAGGTAATTAGTTTGGAGAAGAACGTTGCTGACAACAAAAACTGTATCCCTCCGAGTGCAAAGGAAGAGTCTTTAGTCTCTGAAGATTCATCTCAAAGTGTTGCTGGTGCTGACATTTCTAGGAAGAGAGAAACCACATCTGTAGAGAAAGAAATGTTAGATAGTAACAATAGCTTAGAGGGCTTGGAGTTTGCACAGGAGAAGGTGCTGAGTTTGTTACAAGCTGAAAAAGTGGATATTCCTGAAGAAGCATCGGAAAATCAAGTGCAGTTGCAGCCTGAGAAAGGCGATAACAAGGTATTACCTGAGAACAATCTCTCCAACATGTTCATAAACCTGCATCCAGATAAGGAGGTTAAGCCTAGTCTCAGATTTGAGGCGTTGAGTAACACTACTTCCAGATTGTCTACAAGAGAATTCTCTCGTGATGAAGGTGGTCAACACGTCCCTGTCCAGAAAATGAAGAGTATCACCACGGAAAATGATCAACAGAGCGGAGAACTTACTGCTATTAGAGAAAGGAAGACTACATATCCTTTTGGAAGTTCTAAAGGAACCGTTGCACCTGTGGCAGAGAGTAAAGACTCGAGCATCAAGAAGTTGTTGGAGTCCCTTAAAGTTCCAACTAACAATGTCACGGAAGCAGACGATACCTGGTCGAATGGAGAAGGACAATGTGTATGGAAAGGATGTTCTTTAACGGAGGAAGAAGAATCCAAAGGACTGTGCAGCCAGGCAGCAACCTTGGCTGATGCCACCAGTGTGAATCAAGAGTCAACAAGAAAGAGTTTGGACGCATTATCGATCAGAGAGCACTCTCCTAACAAAGTAATGTTAAGGTTTTTGCACGAAGGATTTCAGAAGAGTGGCATCGTTGAATCATTTTCTAACATTGGAGCCGTTTTAGATGTACAAGAAGTTCCATCTTTCGAGGGTTGCATTTACAAAGATGCTCTCGTGACTTTTGAGGTTAGTTTTCTCCTTACATTGTCTTCTTGTTTAGAACGGTCTACTTAAAAAGAGTGTGTTTTCTTTGCCTTCTATATTTGTAGACTGAATCAGCAGTCAAGAAGGCTCTCAAGAAAGGTGTTGTGATGGTGAAGCATCACAGTGCAATGGTTGAGGCACTTTCTCAGAAAAACATGGTAGAAAAGATACGCATTCCAGATCTCATTGGCGATCCAGATGTGCCTATTTCATTGGTGAAGGAACCAACCAGAACAGTTAAGATTCATCCACTGGATCAAAATATAAGTTCGAAGCAGATCAGAGAAGCGCTAGGGTTCTGTAAGAGCGACATATCTAAGATCATCTTTGGTTCATCGACAACAGCTGCTTTCGTTGAGTTTAAGGTGCGGTTTTATTGCTACCTAATCTGGTTATACTCAGAACCAAATGCCAGATATTAATAAATCATCTACTTTGTGATTTACAGACGGAAGTAGGTAAAGAGAAAGCACTTGCAGCGCATTCAGTTGACGTACAAAACAAGCAATTGTTTATCTCAAGGATTGATATACCGAGGACAACAGTTGCAAGGATCTCAAACTTGTCGGGATCAACGGGTAGGGACGTACGGGAACTGTGTGCAACTTATGGACATATCAAACATATGTTTTTCAGGGGAAATGCTATTGCAGATGTTCGTTTCGATGTCTCTGAGTGGCCAAACATGCTCACTATTCTCAACAGGTAATAATAATACTCCACAAAACCTGGACAGTGCTTTTTGTTTTGAAATAACGAGTGAAGTTCTTGCTTGACCTTTTTGTTTTGTGTGTTGTTTTATGATAGCATGAATGGTAAAGAGATAAATGGTAAGAAGTGGGTTGTTCGACCAGCGACAACAGTTATACCTCATGAGATTCTGAAGGTTTTGTGGGAAGACCCTCACGGAAAGAGTTATGTGAAAGGCTTGATTAAGACTATGGTGAGGGAAATTGAACAGCCTCTATATCTAGCTGGTATATCTTCATTGTACTCAGCTCTTGAAGACTAGAGGATAGAGCCATTGTTTTGGTTTGGTAAAACATTTATCAGAAAGAAAAGCCAAAATTGGTTTTGTTTTAGAAACACGTAAAGAAAAATTATAATAAATAGATTAATTTTGGACTGTTCTTGGGCTAGGCCCTTTGATTTTATCTAAAAAAAACATTGACGGAAAAAAAAAAGATTAATTTAAGAAGCTCTACTCAAATCAAAATATCAGCTAAATAATTCTCTCGTGCTTAGAATTTTATTTAATATAATGATAAATATTAAAAACTGAGTTTGGGAAAATTATTAATAAATTTATGAAAATTGCTACTATGTATAATTATTAGTTTGTACCTGATACAGGATACATTTTATATCTTAGTCTTATGGTATTAACATTTTTTCATAGTATTACTTAAAGTTTTTAGTGGTAAACCGCTAACTATTTTTGACTTGGAAAATGATCTCTCAACTAATATTTTAATGTTTTAACACTACAAGAAAACAAAGCATTTACTAGGAAATTTTACTAGGAAAATTCTTCCTCGTAAATTTACTAAGCCTTTACTAGGATCTTACGAGGAAAGCAAATTTCCTCGTAAGTTCCTCGAAAACTTACGAGGAAACACTTTCCTCGTAAGACCTTAGTACATTTACGAGGAGATTACGAGGAAAAAGTACTTTTCCT